GGCCAATACTGAGTTACTAACCGATTCATCCTTCTCCAACAATGTCCTGACCTGAAATGATCCCACTTCCCATTGTACCAGCCTGCAAACATTGCACTCTAACTGCTACAGTTCGCGTTTTCGGACACAAGTTTCTATGTATATCTGTTTGTTATGTTATGACAGACCAGCATGCTAAGTTTGGCAACGACGTTTTGAGACGCCCTGTATATTGCATTCCCAGATGCATTTAGTCTCTACCAATTTCTTAGCAGTAAGTGATTAGCAGTTTTACAAGAAGCAGATAACTAATTGGTATACAATTGGTATTCCTAAATGAGCTTACTGATTTTTCTTGGGATCACAACAAATATTTTTTTTTTCTTTCTACATCAGTAAACCATACATTTTCGCTTTTAATGATTTTGATTTAGTGACTTAATAAAAGTTTATGTGTTAGAGAATGTTCACTAAATTAGGAAAAAAAAATCTTACTTAGATTAGAATATAGAACAGCATAGATTTTGAAAAGAATATATTAGTTTCAAAGACGATCAAACACATATCCTTCTTCTTCAGCAGTTTTTATTTATTTATTTAGTTTTGTAGTTGCTTCTGAAGAAGGGCATGTGTTGTTTACACACGATGTTAATACAGTATTCTGCAAAAGCTTCTACAGACATTAGATTATTTCGAAGCAGGAAAAATGTGCAATGCCCTCGCCGGGACTCGATCCACGGACCTCTCGAATGTGCGTCGAGCATATTGACCACTACACCACGTAGGCATGCTAAGAAGGCGAGAGAAATACCTTATGTACTGCCCCTTTTAAAGGGCGATTAGGGATTAGGGGACCCAATTGCCAAATCCTGGTGTTGGAGAATCATCATCCACCACCGTTTTTATTTCAGGCATCTTAGAGGGATGTAGGTATATTGGGATATTTCGAAGTAGAAAAGATGAAAAATATGCAATGCCTTCGCCAGGACTCGACCCACGGACCTCTCGAATACGCTTCAAGCGTGCTGACCACTACAACACGAAGGAATGATAAGAAGGCGGGAGAAATACCTTATAAGCTATTAATAAATGTATTTCCTTAATTTAAATTTTTCATTGGCATCTTTATTTCCAGTTTAATTAAATAGGCTAAAAAATCGGGAAAACAACATAAAAAGAAACCTCTGACTTTATTTATATCTTAAGTCGCAGATATATTGACAGATTAACATAATTAAGCTATTTTAATTTATTAACATATTTTTATTTACATATTTTAAGCTTTGCTATTCAGTGTTAAGGAACCAACCATTGGTGAAAGGGCATTTATAACAAAATGAAATTCTGTTTCACCTCTTTCAGAACTTTTAAAGTGGGACACACAATTTTTTTTTAGTACCGTAATTTTTTTTAGTTGGGTGTAAGGTCCCAAAGACAGGGCACCGGGAAAAAACGTCAATCTGCTTTGCTATCGGCAACACGCCATTGTAAATAAACTGCCCAACAATGAAAGCGCTATGTTCTCCTAACCAAGCTATTGGCTACTCTGTAGCGGCAAAGAAATAACTATCCGATGAAGTCCTTTCTGCCGCAACCGCGTATATGGATTACTATTTACGTAAGATATTGAATTTCAATTTCACCCACGGTATCCTTAACCATTTGAAGGCCAAAATGACCCAGGCGGCATTTCATTCTAATGTCAACAACCACCCCAAATGGAAGAGATTGAGATACTGTTTTCTTTTTTCTTCCGCCTAAGGTATGCAGTAGCAGGTGCAGTTTCCTCAAATGCGTTGTGTCAGTTTAATGCAGATAGGTTATCCTAAAAGGCTAATGGACGCTTCTTTATTAGGAAGTATAAAGAATGTCATTTGAAATATTCGTACCTGTTTGTGTGTTAATGGACGGGAAGGGGATGAAATGGGTTGGACGAGTAATGGGCGGAGACGGGAGTTCGGTATTTTAAGCATACATGTCAGCGAAGGCTTCGGTTTTCTAAGATTTAATTTCACAAAGTAATCCAAGGATTATCATTGGGCTTTAAAATTTAATACTGAATTTTTAAAGTAAAAAAAAAAAAAAAAATACTTCCTTAAAAATTTCACAGAAGAGCAAACGCTAATTAATATAGAACTTATTCTGTGCAAAATATCAATATTTGGCTGTATTTTTATTCTTCAATCCACTTATTGAAGAATTTTGCAATATAAGCGTTAAGAGTAACTAATGCAATTATATTTTCCTCGGATTTTTGTATTAATATTATCTGAGTTTAATGATATGAAGAAAGCAGTATTTTTGAAAAGTAATAAACAGTTAGTAGAAATTTTTGTCTAACCTGATATGTTTAAAATATGCTTAAAGGACTTGATCATTTGAAACGTGTATTCCATAAACAGAAACCTCCACAATAGTACCCAGAGCTTGCTATTTCCGAACGTTATAGAAACAAAATCCCTCTTAAGATGAATAATGAGTTTTTCCTTTTATTAAGTTCTTATTACTTTCCGAAGTGTGCATAACAAAGATTTCTTGTCGAATAATTTCATTAAAATGGTAATTCCAAAGATTGCATTCATTCTGGAAAGTCGTTAAAAGATCTTTTTAGCTAAACGAGAAAACGGGAACTTTCTAATTGCTTCAGAGATGTAATTAGTTGATAATAAAACCTCATTTGCCCTGTTAATACTGGTCATAATCCGAAGTTGCTTCTAGAAAGATGTGGCATTTATGTTGATACCTATACACTCGCCCGAGTGAAATCTCTAAACACAATAGCATACAGTTTGTTTCTGATTTAAATGTGCAGAAGGGAATTTCAAAATATTGTGTCTAGTACCTCTGATACTCAAAAATATCGATACCAATAAAAATTCCACATTTTTTTATTATTTTATGTCTTTTTATGGCTACCGAATAATAAATGACATTGCGTTAAAATTGCAAGTTCAAATCAAATCAAATTATTATTTTTTGTTTGTTTGTTTATTCTTAAATTCAAGTATATTTCTTTTATCAACTGTTAGTTATGACACAATATGCTGTCTGCTATAGCTCGCAAATTTTTTCATTTAATTTTGCTTGATTTTGAAGTTATCTCTCAACTGAAAATTTTTATTGAACAAATCACACTATTGTTCTATTAACATAGAATGCTTATGTATATACAAAGTATAATTTTTACGATTTCTCAAGGTTTTACCATTAAATCGCATTTAGTTTCACTAAGAATCTGATTGATCTCATTTAACTTATTCAAATATGCCCATTAATGTCAAAAAGCAAACAGTCTATCAAATATTTCAATAATTAACGGAACAACCATATAAATTCTCAATTCATGCAGCCCCTTTGGTTATATGTGTATGTATGTATTGTGAATACGGCAAAGCACACTAGGGCTATCTGCCTAAGGGCAGGGATGCCTTTGTGGAGGACTTTCTAAGGAAAACCGGCTCGTATACACGTAACACATGGGGAAAACTGCGAAAACGCCCATGCAGCAAGCCCGTTCGCGAGTTTCGAACCGAACTACCAGTGTTCAGCGATTTTACCGCTCTGCCGCTGGTGGGCCTTTGGTTATATGAAAATGGTAAATCCTGCCTGGTCTATTTGCCTAAGATGCACATTCGTAGAAAACATTATAAAGGACACGGGCTCCTATTCGCGTTACATATGGGGAAAATCATGAAAATACCCAAGTAGCCAGCCCATTCGCCTGAGTTCGAAGCCACTATTAATATTCAACAGCTTTCAGCATTCAAACAATAATGCAGCCGATCCATGGATGAAATGATATATATATATATATTTTATCTGAATGCACGTAACCATTTTCATAAACCTCCATTTATAGATTAGTCTTTTAGAGCTTTAGAAATCAAAACTGCTCTATAGTTTTCATTTTCTGCTCCTCAATGGAGCGTATATTTCTAAACTGTGGGTACTGTGCGCAGCGGTAGATACAGTAGTTGTGTTTCGGTAGTACAGGGTGTTTCTAAATGCCTATCGGTGTTTCAGCGCTTTGTAGTATTTACTCCGTAAAACTTAAATTTATAATTAATACATAAAATGAAAGATCAACTTAAACAGGTATACCTACAAGCTTTTACAAGTATTCAATGTGAGCACCTTTCGTCACACGACACATATCAAGTCGATAACCCAGTTCATCCCAAACATTGATTAGTGTTTGTGGTCTAATTATTCCAACACTTGCCTCATTACTATTTAGCGTAGGTCAGCTGGTAGTGGAGGCACATACACACGATCCTTTATGAACTAACTCACACGATCATTTATGAACTCAATGCTCACTTCACTAACCCTTGGTCGTCCCGTACTCTTCCCTTTGCAAAGGCAGCCGGTATTTTCAAACTGATGATACCATCTACGGATGTTACTATCACTTGGGGAATACATTTGAACTACATCCGGAACGTACGTTGCACAGGTTATCCGGAACGCACGTTGCACAGTAGCTACAGATTCGGTCTCTGCAAACTGCAGAAAACAAAAAGGTTTCTGTTCACTAGTCGCCATTTTTGCTACTATTGTACGCGCGTGCTCCATTTCTGGCACATGCGCGTACCAACAAACATAATTGTTTGAGTTGTTCTTTCATTTAATGTATTAATTATGATTTTAAGTCTTATGTAATAAATACTAGAAAGCGTTAAATCTCCGATATTCATTTGGAAAACCTTGTAGTATAGACATTTTTCAACTGTGGATACTCTACGCAGCGAATGCTTTTAAACATTCCAGCTTAACATTTACGTTCTTCTAAATTAGCGAATATCATTCTTTGAATACATTTTTATTAATTTTATTATTGGATAAAATTATAAGATGCATTTCAGCATTTTTCTTTTAAATTCGTTGCGGCAACTGCATTTTTGTTCGATAGTGTGTACATTTTTCCATTAATTTTGTTAAAGTTTTGAAATAATTTACTATATTTTCATTATAATGCCATTCATTATTATTCCTAATCCTTTAATTTTTATTTCCACTAGAGGATGCACCAGCTTTGAAATATGTATTCTCACGTCAAACTGTGCAACCAGGAGACAGGTTTTCCTTACGATGTGTTGCTGCTGGAAATCCTATCCCCCGGGTGACCTGGTCTTTAGATTCTCGTCCTATCCCAGAAAACCACAGAGTTCAATACGGAGATTTCGTTAGTATCCACGCTGAAGTTGTGAGCTTCGTGAATGTGAGCAGTGCAAGAACGGAAGATGGAGGAGTTTATGAGTGTCGTGCTCAGAACGAAGCGGGTGCTGTGAGTCACAAGGAAAGAGTGGATGTACTTGGCGTGCCATTTATTAGGCCCATGAATAACGTAACGGTTGTAGACGGAGATTCCTTATTTTATCACTGCCCAGCTTCTGGATACCCTCTGCCAGTTGTTACATGGAGTAAAGGTAAGAAATTTTTCAGTACATAATGCAAAATAGTATCCGTTATGTGCTATATATGCATGATGAATACATTAATAATTCGTAGAGATATTAGGTAATTTTGAAGAAGGAATATATGATAAATGTAAAATGCCCTCCCCGGGATACGAATCTGGACCTCGCCGAGTGTGCTACCGTTACACGATGAAGACATGCTTGAAAGAGAGAGGAAATAATTTAAATACTCTTCTTTTTAAAGGGTGTCTGGGGATTAGGGGACACAGTTGCTAAATCTTAGTGGTCAAGAATCATCATCCACCAACTTTTTTAATTCGGTGGGCACTGTAGCGTCATTAGATTATCTTTAAATAGGAAACATGAAAAATGGCCAATGCCCAACTTGAACCTAGACCTCTCGAATACGCGCCGATTGTAGCTACCGTTACACCATGAAGGCATGCTGGAAAGAGGGAGAAAATATCTTATAAATTTATTATTTTAAGGATTTAAGTTTGGTTTACTGGCATTTTAAAGTTTTCTGTTTTGATTTTTCTATGTTTACAGACAAAAGGGTTCGGAATGCGTAGAGTGCTTTTGTGAAACCAGAATGAAAAAAAAAAAAATATTGAATTTTCTTTTAATTTCAAATTCTTTTCTCTATTTCTATGTAAATTTTAGTTCGGTTATTTTAAGTTCTACATAATAGGGCATATATTGTACTTTACATATAATAATTTATATTAATTTGAATATTCTTTACATTCTGTGATTGAAATAATAATTATGTTTAGAGCTCAAGCAATTATTAATCAATTAAATCTGATGTCAAGGAATCTCTAATTAAATCTGATGTCGATGTATGTTAATTAAAGTTCTTACGTTTCTAATACTAAAATATATTTTGCTTTGGCATTATCTATTTGTACTGCCCATCTCATAGATAATGGATATGTTACCTTGAAAGACCGAAATTGGAGAATGTCGACTTTCACCGGAAGAATGTCAACATTCACCAAATACATCGGTGAAAGATCGAATATTGCATTACATTCTTGTACATTCGGACCGTCACCAGTGTATGTCGACAATCACAGATATGCTCTGGTGTAGGTCGAAAAGAGAGGATAAATGTACACGCTGTCATTGCAAAAGGAAGTTTTCCACAAATAAATGCAGTTGTAAAACAAGGGCCTCTTGTGCAGTTCGAAGTGTCATAGTAGTTCAAGTTGTTGTAATGTGGAAAAAGAAAACAAGGAAAAAATATAGCCATAGAAAATAAAACAGTTTGAAAATTTCACTGTTAAAGCATCGTAGTAGTAAAATATAAAGAATCTACAAATCATCGCATGCATCACACACATTTGTTTTAAAATTTTAAAAGTTCTGTATGTGAAGATATTAATAACATCATCTGTGAGCTTTTCCTCCTATATACTATCTAAAGTACTTAATTACGTAGAGCGTTTAGGACATACATACGTATGTTTAAATGGATATATGTACATAAACAAAATTAAGTAACCCGGAGTCAAAACTTAACTAGCTTGGAAATGCTTTTTTAATATGTACTATATACGTTAATATCAATACATGTTTGCCAGAGAAACATGTTGAGGAAAAGATTCAGTGGTATCAAGAGTAATTTTCTGACAACAACTCTTGGGTGTTGCTGCGTTCTTGTAATAGCAGGGGCTTATACTGGATTTCAATAAAGGGCATGCTTCTGAACAGCAAACATTTCAAAAATTATATTAATAAATGAAAATTAGAATTACATGTATTTGAAAGTTTAATATAACATTTGCGTATTAATATGCTGTAAAGAATTTCGAAATATGAAAAATAATTTAATGCGTATAAATAAACATTTTAAATTCCTCAGATTTAGCGTCTGAAATGGAAATTATTCATGTACGGTTTCCAGATAGCTTACGTCATAATTCCATTTTGCTTCATTTATGAAGATTTCACGTTTTCAAAGCGTAATATGCAAATGAATTACGCTAGTTATTAATAAAATTTTACATTAATTATTGACAACATTTGAACAATGGTACAGTTAATGCTGATCTGAGCTAAATCAGCTAGTTACTCTTGTAAAATTCTCTGATCATGTTACCAATACTGTTGGTATTTACACATGGTCTAGTTATACAATTTTATTATTATAGACAGTAATGTAATATACGAGTGTGCTGCAACCATCCTGGCCGATAATAATTGGTTAACGCAGCACCCCAAAACAGACAAACGAAAATACAGTTAAAAGATTAAAACGGAAATACAGCCAAACACATCAAACCAAAATTGACAGTATTGTTCTATTGTCATTTATAAATTTCATCAAATCCCTTGCAAATCTAGAATTTTTATTGTGGCAGTAGAATTCCTTTATGTTACCATATTTTTCCCTAACATGTCGCAATAATATGTTGTCATCGACAAAATAATATCTTGCATTGCCTTCAGCCTCTGTGAAGCGCCCGCGTCCAGTAATTATTTAAATGCAATCAAAATCACATTAAATGTTAAATCAAATTAAATGTTAAATTAAATCACATTTTAATTTGCAACCAAAATCACATTAAAATGTTTATTATAGGCATTCTCTTATTTTTAGAAACTTCAAAGTTCAGCAAATAATCTTTCCTTTTTCCCGAAATGTTCCATATCTCTTTCCAACAATCACAATAGAAACCCTTAATTTTACCAATAACAATGCTTTTTTATGCTTGAATATCGAACGCATCCACGGTATTACCCAAAGCAGCCTCTCTGGCCAGCATATCGGCCCTCTCATTGCCTATAACACCAATATGGACTTTCACCCAGTTCATTTTCACATCATGTATTTTCTCAACTTTTATCTTTTTACTTTTACAGGTATTATATACAATATGAGTATGCCTTGTGTTTTGACATTCATATGCACATTGTCTTTAAGTAATTTTTCAGTTTTTATATGACTATCAAATCCTATCTATCGGTAGAAGAAATCTTTTTAAAAGGCAGTCTGTTTCATTTTCGTTTTGTCTGTTCATTTTTCAGATTTAAAAAGAAAGTGCTTCAGGTTTATTACACTATTCAGGTTTACATTACATTCAGGTTTACATATTTGTTATATTATTCAGGTTTATTGCATTATCACAGTGGTTTCAAACTCAAATTGCGAGCGGGGCAAATTTATGACCTTAAAGTTGTAGCAAATTTTTCTGGAAGCAGGCAAGATGAAAAATTAGCAACGACTTCGCTGGGAATGAAACCACGGACCTCTGGAATACGCGCCCAGCGTGGAGACCACCACACCACGAAGGCATGCCATTAAGGCGGGAGAAATACATTCTAAAGTAGGCAATTTGCCGCAATTTAGAAAAAAGGAACAAAGAAAGAGAAATATTTTTCTTTTTTAAAGAAATAAAATTTGTTAGCTAAAGTTTAAACATTTTACTACATATTTTTGAAAATTTACATATAAAAATAAAGCCACATAAAATTCAAATTTATACTTATCTTCTGCCTCAAATTTTTAAAATTGGTACCTGTAAGAAATTGCTCTTGATCGCAGTTTATAAGCGAAACTCATTGATAGAAAAACATAAAAATTTTCATTTCAACATTTATTTAAATAAATATAATGTGTTAAAGTTACTTAAATGACTTACTTTTAAGTCAAACTAAAACGAAATATATGAAATCTTCCCATGAGAATAAACAATGGAATCTGATCTCTTTCTTTTATTTGTCAATTTTTTTTTATAACGTGTAACAGAAAAAATAATATTTGTAAGCAAGTAATTATAAACTACTTTTTTTTTACTATATCTTTCACCTACAACCCCTACGACGTTTCAATTTTCATAATGTTTGTTATTTTGAAGGAAAATTATTAGAAAGTATCTTCATCACAAACTGTAGATACTCTCGGGCAGTTTAGTTAATTTCATAAATTTAAAAAAAAAAAAAATTAACTACGAATAAAAACAGTTAACATGTAAATCTACTCCCAAATAATGCGATTATTTTTATTGCAAAAATTTGTAACTGAGAATACTTATATTTCGATGAGCACTAATAAAAATAATCTGGATCTTCAAATCCGGCATAAGATTTATACCACAGGGGCAATTAATTAACTCCATTTATATATCTTTCGGAGAGTTGCGTTCGGTTTTGGTACTGAAAATAGTGTAAAATTGGACTCCAAACCATTAATATCTCTTTTCTTCAATTTTTTTTTCAAAACAATGCTAATTAATTTAGCAGAAAATTATTCACGGGACGCATGCGACCCGCTAATTTGACATCGCTGCGTTATCAAACGGAAAAAGGTCAAGAAATAAAAAAAGAGCGACCTTTAAACTCAGTATACAAACATCACGAACACCGCACAGTGTTGCTGCGGAGAACGCGGCATCCCAGAGCACTATGTGGTAGAGTGCCCATTAACAGAGGGACTTCACATACCAATCCCAACGGTTAACAGGCAGGCCTTCGGCAAATACCTTATAAGCAGAGGCACCTCACTAAAAAAGTCCAATAAGAATAAGCTCAAGAACATAGGTACTGACCTATGTGCAGCGACTATTCCTAAGCAATTCAGTAAATAACACAAAAATGCTAAGCACATTCAATGTTCCATGTATAATAAGCAGTAATAAATGTAAGTGTGTACCCAGGCAATCAGATTGATACACCATAATTAATGCAGGAAGCAGTATATTAGAAATGTACATAAGCAGCCGTAAAGGTGTATTGCAATAATAGTGTTCTAAATGTAATAATTTAAATGTGAAGCAACAAGTAGATGTAAAAGCAGAAAGTTTTTAAAAATTAATGATAGTGTTTTTAAGGTGTAATGAGTAATGTAATGTATATATGCAGTTGTAAATGTCAGTGTGTACTTATGCAAACAGATTGACACCACAATGATTAACGTAGTGATTACCTGAAGCAGGTATTAGACGTAATGTACATAAGCAGACGCAATTTAAGCGTATTTGCATAATAGTGTTCTGAATGTAAAA